GATTTGCGGCTTCTGAATACTCGTATTCCAGTGAATTTGAAAAAAATTACTTTTTTATATAATTGAATAGCCAGATAAAATAGCATGGTAGGCCCATGTATGAATGACTGGTTCCATTCACGAACGTTATGACAGGTCTCACTACTGGGGTGTTTCTTCACCGGTGAGATCTTTCAACATCCTTCATATGTTGCAAGGTATAGCATCAAATTGTTTTACACCGATCGAACAAGGATCATCGATCTTAACTAAGTGGTCTGGTGGATAGCGATCTGTCCCGGGTCCGAGTCTTAGTAGGAAGAACACTACTCATAGAGAGGCAGGTACAACCAGCTAACGGGACCCAAGTAGGACAAAACGCCCGTCCTAAATCCCACTGCTAGCCACTACCCATCATTAGTATCTCAGTCCATATTGTGCAAGATGTTTCTGAATTTGTGTATACTGTCATTCAAATAGTTCCTGTGTATGGTTTTCTTGACTTGGTATGAAAATTGCTTTTGTTTAGTTTTCTATATACTCTCCGCAGAACGTTATGCGTTCGCCGATGGAACTTTTTCTTAGTTTCATATGTAGTGAATTTATTAACAAAGACCTAGCGTACTGTGGTATACCGAGGTGTTGAAAAACTGGATTTTGTAACCAATGGACCTCTAGAAGCTTCGAACGAAAGAGTTGAAAACGCCGCACATTGTAAACGGAGAGCCATATATTTGTCAGAGAAGCTAGAAAATTCCGAACAGCTGAGGTGATGTAACAATTTATGATATAAGTGAAGTTTATTTATCTAAAAGTTTAGGACGGCACTTAAAGGTGATGCATTCAAGATTGTTATTAGAAAAGGTGAAGCAAACATAGTTTGATTGGCACCACAAGCTGTTAATAACGGTAGTCTCACCTCTTCCATCCTCCTTCTTTGTAGAGCTACATGGATAATGACAAAAAATTTTGAAATATCTTAAACAGTGTAAACTATTATCATCTAGGCTATGTAGATAAGCTTTTGCAGCGTTATTACGCGAGGGTTGCTATAAACATGGAAATATAAGGAGGAGTGTACGCATTTCATTTTGTATAGCAGAGGCCCGCACTTAGAACTGAGTATTTGAGGTAGAGTTGTTTGATGCAGTTTTGTTTGTCTTAAGTATCACTTTACTTAACCGCGACATATATTCTTCATTTCATAACTGAATACCTGCGAAATAGTAGTGTATTCGTCCTGGTACTAGCAGTGGAATACAAGACGCGCGTTTCATCCTATTTATAACTCATCAGTTGGATCTGCCTAGACCTCGGAGAGTGTTGTTCTCACTGGGACTTGAACCTAGTGCCCTGCAATCAAAAGGCCAAAGGGTTATCTATTGGTCTGCTAGTGCAAAAGAGCCACCTCTTGTATAACACCGTATGCATGGTGTCAAATGTACGGTGGAATTTGGTGCCCAGGGGTTTAAGCAGGGCGGTATACTCGACATATGCACGTAATTGCACTTCCTTCCTTCATAATTTCGTAAGGTTCTATATACTGAATTACGACGTACATTTCACAGTATAATCGACAGAGTTTACCAATATCTGGGATGTAAACTGTTATACTGTCTAGTATAAGGCTGCCAATTTTTAAACCATTCAGTTTCAAGATCATGGAAAACTATTTCTTAATCTTATTCTGTAACATACAAAAGTTGCTGGTTGTGAATTCAAGAAACATTTATGCTCTGAAGCAAGTATTTCACAAACAGATTAATCTGTTCCAAAGGTGAAATAAAGTTTTGATACGAAGCAGTACCCGAATAGCTCAGCGTTAACGTTGGTAATTACAACACTGGGTGATACAGGTTAGAATCTCAGGGGGAACTTCAGTTTTCTCATGGTTGCAGACCCACTTTTTAGTCTCCTGGCTTGATGGGCACATTGAAAAATGGTTGGTAGGATTTGATCAGCACTCAAGACTAGACAGCGTGAAATTGGTAGCTCTCCAGTGACCAGTCATAGGTCAAATATTTTCATAGTACTATCTAGATAGAAAACGTTTCTTCGATATCTAGTTACACTGAGATTTGCAATTTTGAATAATTGGTATCTTCGTAAGGGAAATTCATGTTTAATTTTTTGCTTAACGTCTCAGTGTGGTGCAAAAATACTAAAGACGGTAATTGTGAGTGAGTCTCTGAGCTAAGTAGGTCTGTCACTTTGACAGACGATACGTCAAGCTATACTTCAAACCACTTTTACCAAACATTATCATTGGCATTACATTAAAGTGCGAACATCAAATTCCTCACTTTATAATACCTTAGTTTGTTAGTTACTCACTGAACGTGCTGTCTTCAAAAAAAGAATAAGAATGTCAGTCATTTAATGATTTTTTGCGTAAACATTGGCCTAAAGGCATAACGATTGCCGTTCGTACTTGAGATAGCGGTACAAGTACTCATTACCAGAAAACTGTTCTACCATTCACTCAGTGGCTCATTTGGTTTCGAACTAAAAGACTAAGGGAAAAAGTTGTTCAACCCAAATTTGCTTTGAATGTTGTTCACTGAGAAAGTTGACGGAAAGTTAACCATTAGTTCCCTTCATACATCTTCAACGTTGAGTATATAGAATCAGAAGAAGGCACCTTAAGTATTTAGTCATTTCATGGAATGAGACATAAATTGCTATAGAAGCCAACAAGTTTAGGATCCAGAGGTAGTCACGGTGATTAATGCTGGATATAAATTATTGAATTAATATCTGCTGAGGAGTCCCATACCAGGACGAAACAGCTGTCCAGTGCTCCCAGATTTTCAATGGTTCCCCAACTGATGTCAGTCCATGATGAACACTACTTCTAAAACAACATCTATTAATTTGGTCTGAGAAAATTTCCATACGTTGTTCGGAAAGAAAGAGTGGTAGGTGGTAACTTAAAGAATAACGACTGACTACAGAAGCTTCATGAACTTTTGGCCTAGTCGTGAAAGGAATGTTTTTTAATATGTTCGGTCTTTTTGTTAGCATGTGTATAACATACTGAGAATTAATGCATTTTTAAGATAATAGCAACTCATGTTTTGACCTGTTCGCCAAAAGAAAAGTTTACTGCAAGCTATAAACGAAACAGTCTGGATGAATTCTTCTGTCACATAAATAATGTTTGCAGAAGTAACATTTTCACCAAAGAAGTCGAATCCAATTTGTCGAAATTAAACTTTATGAACTGTACAGTGGAAAGACAGGATTACAACAAAGGTTAAGATCTTCAGAAAAACAACACGTTCTGACAGATCTCGATTATCAGTTTGCATATCCTTTGACTGGTAAGGTAACTGTCGCACGGAATCTGATTAGCTGAGCTAACCGACCTGTTACAACGGAAGAGGACAAGGAAGATTTAAATTTAGTTTACCGCACACTGGAAGCAAACAGTTTTCCCAAAGGTTTTATTAGACGTATTTAAAAAATGAAATTAAGGATGTCCCGAAACTTTCTCCGAAGAATTGGACAAGCGCGGTCATAATCCCATACCGAAAGGAGACTTCAGAAGAAATAAGAAGAATTCTCAACAAACACGACATAAGGGTTTACTTCCATGTAACAAATACCCTACGTTCCAACTTGATGAAAGTTAGAGATGTAGTACCTAAAGAAAATCAGCAGAACTGCGTCTATAAAATCAAATACGGAGATTATACTGCAGTATATGTAGGGGAAACAGCCAGGCAGGTAAGTGTGAGAGTCAATGAGCATAAATTATGCCTAAAGCAGATCCCTTAAATCTCAGCAGAGGTTAAGAAACTAGAAAATAAGTCTGCGATCACGCTACACTCCATAGAAATGGGACACAAAATTGACTTTGACGGAACTAAGGTTCTAAAAAGGGTTTTCAGTCGTACCAAAAAAGACTGACAGCCGAAGCCCTACATATATGGGCGAACCCAGACAGTTTGAACAGACGAGATGGAGTACAGTTAGCTGCCTCTTGGCAGTTACTAATTAGTAAACAGAAAGAGTGACTCAAAACATTTACCGTCTACACTGGTGTCAACTCCATTATTTCTGCAACAACAACAACACAACCTGCACTGATTTGATTCATTATTACTATTATTATTATTATTATTATTATTATTATTATTATTATTATTAATACCACTCATTTCACTTCATTCCGGCAAATCAATGAGAAGAGAATTTGCTAGCACTGTTCACCACTTTATTCCGACTGAAATTGTATACACATCCACCTCATCCTTTTCAATTCGTACTCGTAAAATTACGGAGTGACTGTCACCGATGACCTTTTTGTCTGATATTTGCAATCAAGACGAATATGAATTGGAGTACATATATACGCCACACAACAAAAGACAATTTCACACTGAATAATCAGTTATCATAATTTAAAAAGATAGTGACTACACGAAGAGGATTGGACAAGGAGATTAAATACACGTTTTTTGAATTCATTTATGTATCCTTGATATTTTAATTTGATTATTTCCCTGAAGAAGCACTGACCAGACATCCGTGCGAAACGTTGGAATTATTTGATTTCAAACCCGCTGTGTCTCACACAAGTACAATCTATATCTAATGTCAACCACTTACTCAGCGCCCAATATTTTCCATACTATTCGACCAAATCTTGATCATAGTTAATATAAATATATAAAGAAGTAGTTAGGAAATAATACCTTTATTTATGGTTGTGGGTACATGGAAAAATAGGAAGCTCTCCTGTGATGCTTAATTTAAGCATCAAGTCTTCCATATTTAGAGTAAATTTTTAAAACTTCAACCGTAATTGTATGCAAAGGGTTTAGTTGTCATCCATGAAACATGAATCAACAAGGAATAGAATGACTATTGGTTTACTTACACTCGAGTATTTTGTAGAACACCATTATGTATGAAGTTCAGTTGGAAATTCTTCCTAAACACACTTGTCATTGGACCTGATTTTCAGTGTGACATCTTTTCAGTGTCCTTATGAGAATAGGTTCAGACGTAGGAGACTAGATTTGTGAAGAATGAGCATTTTTAGACTTGACAACAATTTTACCGTATTTTGAGCAAAATATTCTGAGTATGTAATTCCCAGTTATCACAGTCTTATCCTGACGACAAGTGAAAGTGAATTATGCTATTACTCTGACTTGAAAAGAGATCAGTAGACAACTAAGATGTTTCCTAAAGGTGTATTTCACCCGCTACATAGTTATTCGGAAATGAGAGAATGTTACTTTATGAAGTCCGCTGGAAATCACTTTAAAAAAATACCTATTTACTGAACTCACCAAGGCCTTTAGCATTCATTGATGCATTCAGCAAGTCTTATTTTCTTAGTGCCTAGCGTTTTTAGTAGACGTTTGCCTGGCAGCCTAATGAAAATAAGAAATTCCTATAAAAATTGACTACTGTTGCCAGAGGAAGAAAGCCAGTACGAATTGCCACTATCGATCCTAAATTACTTAGAAGCATTATTCAAGGTACCAAGTCCGCAGTTGTATTCATAGTTTTACTTGGTTAACCTTTTTATGGGATCGCATTCCCTTTAAAAAACAACCAGTGATCTCACCAATAACATAGCTATCAATTTCATGTCAGTTTGTTTTCCAAGCGCTGCATATATTGTGTGAAGTATTTAAAACTTAATTGTTATTCAGGTGGTATGGATTTGACACTTATTCTCAGACTAAACATTATGTTATATGAATCGTGTTATTTGTTTTAACTAGAGAATTGAATATCTGTTAGGGAAAATGTGATGTTCAAGTATATACAGACTGTTTCCTTAATCCGGGTATGCAGTTTTGATTTCAATTTCATGTTACAGTCAAAACCGCTTTCATCAATCTTATGATTTTCTGCGTATTTGGAACACGAATTAAGGTTAATTAACGAGTACATTACGTTCAAATTAGTAAAAGTGATCATCAAGTACAAACTGTCAAAAAACTCACTTCGGCTGCGACATGAGCACGTTTGAGTCCCACAGTTAGATGTTTTACAGATTCATTTGGAAAGCCGTTCACGATGTCCTTTCTTGGTTTGTCTGAAGCCAAAGAAACTTCAGCTGACTCCCTAGTTGAACTTCTACCTGAATCATGTTGCTCATCTGAATGTCTGTTGAAGTGTTTTTGTTCAGGTAAGACATTGGGTTTTTCATCTGTTGGTGTTTTGTTTGTTTCATCTCTAGAAAAACTGAAGGCTTCTTTTGTTAACTTCTTCAGAAATAGATCTTGTTTTTGTACCTCGTTGAGCCCATGTTGATAGGTTTCTTCTGCAGTAGGTGTGAGAGATCCTTCTGACGGACTTACATCAGTTTCATCTTCTCTCTGTTGAATATTTGGCTGTGAATCATTGGAAAATGTATGCATCTCTACATCAGGTGACATTAAACCTGATGAATATGCTGTAGTAGAGTCATCTTTCGTCGTCTTCTTGATGGTGAGAATAAAGAACTCAATGACAGTGTTCGCAAAAATGTAAACGGTTTACTTTTTGTCTTTGACTCATTCCCAGATAGTGTACAACCAGCTGTTAAAGTAGCAGATTTCTTCTCCATTGCCCATCTTGTCAGCCGAGATGATGAAGATGACGGTTTTTCTGAAACGTTCTCATCACTTTCCGATCGATGACGCATACGCGGTAGTGTTGAACAACCTCTTTCATTTGAATTACTGGGTGTTGGTGTCCTACTTTTACTAGACTTACGTTTTACACAACGTAACATTGCGACAAAAAAAGATCAGTTGGAAATGAATTAGAAACGAACGAACAGGTACCAGGAAGAAGAAACGAATAGCTTCGTACTGTGTACCAAGAGACGATAATATGACTCGTAGCTAGATCTATAATAAGATTTGTTTGTTTTTAGTAGTAGGCTAAAATAGTTCGGAATCAGAGTAAAATCAAAACAAAAATCATGAGGGATTTCTGAATTTTTCACTAAAATTTTCAACAAACAAAGCCACTGAGCAATAGCTGGGACGGATAATCTGAAACAACTATAAGCAATGGCAGAAACAGAAAGGCACTCAGCATAGCTTTATGATAATACAGTAACTGTATAAGCGTCAGAATGAAAATATAAAGCAGTAAAACTAAATATCAATGGTGTTCAATCCCTTTAAATTAAGTTAATATTTTTCAGTGGTTAAATAAAAAAGTTTGATGAGGCACTGTTAGTAGCAAATCTCACTTGAGATAAACTTGTGACGTACAATTGAGCCGGCGTGTATCTCGAATGAATTGATGAATAGACTGAAGCCAACTGAAAGACTGCACCGGGTTTAATAACCAACAGCTGAAATCAGTTCTAAATCCTGATTCAGACGTGTCTCACAGATGTGCGACTGACGTTCGCTTGCTAAAATGATTTTAAAGCTTCACATGTGTAAATTAAGTACTCTCTCATTCCTGATCAATGTATTAACTGGCCAATCAGAGCTAGTGAAAAGCCTTACAAAAATAACTAAAATTCTGATTGGTTAAAACTTTTGGGTCATGGGCTAACTGCTAAGACCAGTATGTCTGTTCACTTACCGTTCAGAATTATGTCGACTTTCACAATAATTGGCATGTGGTTATGTCTGGATTCAAATAAATAATCGCACTGATAGGGCCATTATTGTTTTCCATCGCAAATCGATAGCAGTCAAATTAGCGTTGAAATACAGAAAGGCTGTTGGATCCTAAGAATTGTATCTTTCTAAGCTCACAATTACCTCACAACCTTCGAACTGCAACTTTTAGGAGCCTAAATATTTGTCTTTGAACCTTGAAATCTGTTTAGTTCGTGAACTACCTTTAAGTATTATTTTCCCCACTATAATCACGAATCGCTCATTTATATTCTCATTTAAAATATGCCTTTATTAGCTACTACTGGGCTGGTTATGAATATGAACCAAGAACTATTTTGTTACTTTAATAAACATTAATTGGTGATAGGTTTTGTCATTGTAATTGTTTCCGAACCAACGGTTGACATTTTATGTACAAGCTAGGGTGTCAGTTTGATATGCCATTTTCTAGCGTCACATAAAAGACTCCCAGTATATTTTTTCAAGGCGTGATCTACACGTAGATCATGCTTACTACCATATTAATATTAAGTGGTCAGTATTCGACCAACGTCCATATAAAAGTGATATTTTGATTCATGATCTTTTGGTGGGTTTCAATATATATGTATGCATATATTCCGATTCAACTTAATCTTGATTGTAAGCAAATCCGTTAGGCAAAGCGTCTAGAAAGATTAAAATTTTTACCACTTACAATAATTTCACTGAGCTTACTAACTTTGTGAAGGAAAGTGGGTTTTTTCATCCGATGATCTCCGTTAAACTCAGGTAATTATTAACCATGAGTGGAAAAAGGGAAACACTTCTTCGATTAATTGATTGCCAGATCTGGCTCTGTTTTTGCTCACTGGTTACAAATGTAGATCGGGGAAGCATAAGCGATCTTATGAATTTATCGTACTGAATAAAACTAGCTACTACATATCTGTCAATTTATTAAGGAAGTGAAAACCTCTTAGAATACAAAGAGTTGTCTCAAGAAAGAATTTGAGACACTTGCTAGCAGTCAGTTGCAAAAATAAGAAAGATATTCTTCAACTTTTTTTATGATAACTATCAACCAAAAGTAAGAAACGTAAGAATGAATGTCGTTTCAGCTAACATTGTTAGAAGAGTCCTCGAATTTTTGCTTTATGTAACGAAAAACTATTGATTACCTAGTTTCAGTCGGTAACTGTCTATATTCTCTGCACAATGGGTGGCATGGAACTCTGCAGGCTTGCGTGAATTAGAAACAGCTTTATGTAGCTTTTTCGCCAATTTTTGGGAAATGGGACGTTTGCTGTAATTTGTCAAAAATAAATCAGAAAGCTCCTCGGCCATGCTTTCACTCATGAAATACTGTTTATTTGAGATGTAAAATACATCCATGAGTTATTAAAATAAATCCATATACGATATTTTCTCCTTTCAGCTGTACTAATTGCTAAATATAAACACTGACTGTAACTGAGGTACAATATAGCTTTTGATATTAAATCATTTAGGATTCTCAAACAAATATAGGCAACCAATTAAGCAGTATAAGATATAGTCAAATTATGGTAAAAGTTTGAAAAATACACACTGAAAGTAAGGATTAGTCTATAGTGAACATCTGCATTTTTCATACCCAAAAGTAAAGCAATGGAATATTATTATTATTATTTCCGTTTTTGGTTCAGCGGATATCTAAACTCAGTGTTTCTAGCAGACAAACTGAGATTAAATAACATCGTATTCCTTCTTCGTTCATCAATAATATCTACAGATTCGCGATCTTCATAAGTGCTAGGGATTTGACACTCGTCGCAGCTAAAGATAAGAGAGACAAAATATATGTATATCGTTTGTGCTTTGAAGTTTCTTTAACAGGTGGATTGGTTTTACGGAATGAGGTTGCTAGCCCTACGACCGAACTCCACCCTTTACCTGGGCTTAGAACCGGCAAGTATTAAGTGAACTAGTTAACCAAAGAAGTGAAGAAGAGTGCACGGAAAGACAAAAGACACTTCTACAATACACTGGCAAGTGAAGCAGAACAGGCTGTTGGTAGGAGAGACCTGACAACATCATATCAAATAACCAAAATACTATCTGGGAAGAGAGGAGATCAACTCAGAAGAGACCAATGAGAGACAGTGAAGGAAAGCTAGTTACCAAAGAGGCGAAACAAAGGAAACGATTGTCTGACCAGTTCGAAAATCTCTTGAATCGACCACCACCTGCAGTCCGTCCAGAAATACCACTTGCAGCCACAAAATTACCAGGGAACACTTATCCTCCAACAAAAAGTCGAAGACGTGAACGCCATAAAGTTGCTGAGAGCCGGGAAAGCAACAGGACCAAATGGATTCTGCCAGAAGCACTGAGAGCAGACACAGAGGCATCAGCGGACATGCTCACACCACTATTGCAGAAGGTTTGCAAAGAAGGGAGGAAAGGTAGCTGCCGATTGATTGGAAGAAGGTCTACCTTGTCAAACTCACGAAGAAGGGAGACCTAAGTCTTTGCATGAACTGTCGTGGAGTCATGCTGCTGTCCACATCGAGATAAATATTAAGCCGCATCATCCTGGAGAGACTAAGAAATGCTCTGCATTCAAATTTACGACCGAACACAGGTTGACTGGCTGGCTGGCTGGCTGGCTGGCTTACCTCAGGAAAAACAAATCATGTACCGATCATATTTGCAACGCAACGCTACACATCATCATAGAACAGAGCATAGAACGGCAGTCAAATCTCTACCTCAATTTCATCGACTTCGAAAAGGCTTTCGATAGTGTCGACCAAGAAGTAATTTGGCAGCTGCTTCAACATTACGGTTTCAGTGCCACAAACCTTTACCAACCTCATTGAACAGCAGCTATGTGACGAGATGATGCTACATGCCAAGTGATTCACAATGGCAAGCTCAGTAATGCCTTCAAATTGAAGACAGGGTTAAGACAAGGTTGTCGCCTACTATCACCAATGATCTTCTTGATTGTGGTCGACTCGACTGGACTGGATCATGCAACAAACCGTGAGGAGTGAGAAGATGGGCGTACGCTGGCTGGACCAATGAAAAACCTGAGAAGAAGATTTGGAATTTGCCAATGATGATTTATGTCAAATGTCGCACAAACTCGAAGATCTACAGGCAAAAACTAACAAGTTGACAGAAGAGGCAGCGAAGATGGAATTCGAGTGAACATTGAGAAGACGGAGGTGATGAAGATAGCCAACCAACCAACACCACCACAACTACCACCATCACCACCACCACCACCAACAACAACAACAACAAACTCCAATCACCATCAACGGGAGAAACTTAAGGGAAGCAGCCTCCTTCACCAATCTTGGCGGCACCATTTCAACTACAGGCGGCACAAACGCGGATATCAAAGCGAGGATCGAAAAGACTGCAAGACAGGTGTTCGTTAACCTGAAACCAGTATGGAGATCTGCACTCAGCATAAAGCGTGAACAACATCCGGATTTTCAACACTAACGTCAAGTCAAGTCAGTGCTTCTATGTGATGGTTGAGAGACTTGGCGCGTCACGAAAGGCATTTCCAACAAACTACAGACATTCACCAACAACTGCCTACGCTCGCTCGATACTGCACATCAGATGGCCAGAAAGAATTAGCAACAAGGAACTCTAACTGGCTGGTGACTAACCAACCAACAACCTTTCACTCAACAAATATGCAGAAGGAGGTGGAGATGGATTGGGCATACACTGAGAAGGCCGACTGGGGACATCACGCGCCAGGCCAGTTGCTCGCGTGGAACCCAGATGGGAGACGACGAGTTGGGCGTCCCAGCTGAGGGTGACATGGAGGTGATCGTGTGAGGAATAACTGAGAGCTTGTGGGCAGTCTTGGAGTCAGGTTGAAAAGATTGCAGAGAAGAGAGTGCACTGGAGATGTGCTACTGAGTATCTATGTTCCATTAGGAACCCAAGGGACAAATAATAATAATTTTGAAGGAGATACTCGCAACGTATATAAGCATGTTTCCTTATTTTGAAATTTGATGTTACAATACAGGAATTTCCGGTTGAATAATTTCATTTGTCAGCAATGATATGTTTATTTCTAGCGCTAATCGACAAGTTTGTATAATACTATTATTATTATTATTATTATTTATCTTTTGGGTTCCCAGTGGAA